GAAAATTAAAAATGTTAGTTCCACCACCCAGAAATAAACACTGAGTATTTCCAGAAAGTAGGGCATAGTTACGTCTGTAGGCTGTCTATAAGCATTTCATTGGATAGATGTATCATAGTTTATTTAGCCAATTTCCGATCATTTGAATAATAACTTTTTTGGGGGGGGTAGGTGAGGAAGATTGGCGCTGAGCCAACATCTGTTGCTAATCTTCCTCTTTTTACCTGAGGAAGATTGTCTCTGAGCTAACATCTGAGTGTCTTCCTCTATTTTATGTGGGATGCTGCCACACCGTGGCTTGATGAGGGGTGTTAGGTCCGTGCCCAGGATCTGAACCTGCAAACCCTGGGACACCAAAGAAGAATGTGTGAACTTAACCACTATGCCACCAGCTGGCCCCAGTAACATTTATTTTAACTGTCGTGCATTTATACTTTTGCATCCTGGTCTTCCTTCCTCTTCACATATATTAGTGCCTTCTCTTTACTTTTGACAAGTTTACTAAACTTTAAGAATGACTTAAAATTCTCCTAAAGACACCAGTAGGCATTGCCTCAATGCTGTCCCTCGGTGCATACTTTGGTGTTAGGGAGTTGCTTCTGGTGGACTGAAGTTAGTAATAAGCAGCTTAGGACAGTGCTGATGGCAGAGATGATGGCAGAAAAGGCAGAGGCCTGGGGGCCAGGTTCACGATGGAGCCTGGTGAATGAGTCAACAGGTTTGCAAGTTGTGTATTACGTATTACAGTTAATTATTTAAGTGGTCATTAGTAAATCATGAAGCTGACGTAATTATTCTTTATTATTAAATAACAGAATGATGCTAATGCTATCAAGTATTAATTATTTAAATCTTATTACTTAGTATTAAGCCTTGTAGTGTTTGACTATCATCGGAAGTTAGAGGAACAAAGATGTCAGACAGTGTCAGCCATTTTCCTTTAGGATGTTTCTGCCTCGTTTTCCTGAGAGCTTGAGGGCCCGGTTGTTTGTACCATTTTTGGCAACTCCATAACCCGAGAGATTGAGACCGTTCGTCAAATTGTATTTTATAATATAAGGTCAGAGCAGACAACTGTACTGGGCTGAATAACGTCCCCCCAAGTGTGTGTCTGCCAGACTCTCAGAATATGGCGTTATTCGGACACAGGGTCTTTGCAGATGTAATTAGTTCAGAGGAGGTCAGGGTGAGCCCTGTATTCAATGACTGGTGTCCTTAGGGGAGAAGAGAGAAGAGAGACAGAGACGTAGGGAAGGAGGCTCTGCAGACACAGAGAACAGGCCGTGGGACCATGAGCAGAGATGGTGGTGATGCAGCTGCAAGCCCAGGAGGGCCGAACGTTGCCTGGAGCCTCCAGAATAAGAAAGAGGCAGGAAGGATCCCTAAGAGAGCCACCACCACAAACTCCCCTTGAGGGGGAAGGTGGACGGGAGAATGAGCCTCAGTCCTTCCCTTTATGTGAGGCCCTCTGTAAATATTTGCTGAATGAAGGAAAGATGAGGCATGTTGTGAAACTGGTCACTTCATTCCGCATTCCCTGCCTGAAGTGCTGAGCGCGCTCAAGATGTGTAGACAAACATCCTTTTCAGCTTGAGGAACCTCCTTCTCCGGTTACTAGCTATGGCAGCTTCACACAGTGGCCGTACGTCCTCAAACCTTGGTGGCCTTACTTGTAAGATGTGAACCTCTCCTGGGCCATGGTGAGGATTAAATATGATGATGTGTGTAGACCCCCAGAGCATGGTGGGTGCCCCGAGAATGTTAGCAGTTATTGTTATTGTTTGCGAAAGATGTGAGTGGTGTTGCTGTTTATGCTCCTTTTCCTCTTAATCTTGTAACTGCTGCTGTCACATCTCCCTCCTGGCCTCCTCCTCCACCTCCTTCTCCTCCATCCCATGACTGGGGAGGGCAGGGAGCCCACAGAGTGAAATGTCAAATCAATTCCTGTCCTCTTAGACTGTCTTCCAGACTACCTCTAAGTGGGTTGAGTAACCATATGCCCTGACTACCTCCTCTGCAAAGAAAAAAATAGACAATGAGAGCAAAGCAGCAATAGGAAATCCAGAGGAATGGTTGTTGTTGGATAGCGGCCCCTCTAGGGTGCACCAGGAGGGCGTACGTGTTGGAAACTGACGCTCCAGAGCAGGTGATGCGCATCTGCGTTTTGGGCTAGGTTGGTCCAGACAGCTGCCCTTCTGCTGATTGGATGCCCGTGAGGGTTCCCAGGGAGTGACAGCCCTTAGGATAAGTGTGGGGTTTACTCTTGGGGAGGGCAATGGATATAAAGACTTATAATCCAATAAATGTTAAGGAGGAAAGGGGAATTCCATCTCCCTCCCCCATGCGGTGTCCCACCACCCCTGTGTTTTGTTATACAGGTCATTGTGGACGAGTTCTGAGGAAGCGTTGAATTTTAGCTCCCACCATCTGCACAACTACCCTGTTTCACAGCTTAGGAAATTTGGTCTCAGGGAGGTTATTTTGCTTCCATGGCCCTTTCCCAGAGCTGGGGAAGAACCCCAATGCTGTCCCTGTCCCTAAGCCCTTCCTGACTCCCAGCCCTGGCTTCTGAGTTCAGGGGCTTGGTGGCAGGGCCGGGTAAATTCAGGTGAGCCGTGCTGGGTGCCTGCTGCTTCACACCATAGCTTGGTGGGTGTCTGTCAAGCTGATTGGGTCTCTGTTCTAAGTCTCGTTGTTGGGGGGCCCGATGGGTGGGACTCCTGAAGCTCAGGGTCCCTGAGCTTTGTCTGTCCCTAGGCAAGAGTTGTCAGAATTGGGTACCGTGTGCGACTGCCCCTCAGTGTGGCCGACATCTGTCATGCGGAGAAATGCTGAGGATACAGCTCTTCGGTGCTCTTGGACCTCCGACCGGGAACTGTTCACGCCCCAGGAGAAGAATCTCTGCAAATTCTAGTGCCAGATACTGATTCAAAAACAAAACCAAGCCGAACAGTTGTATTTTTTTTTTCCTGATTGTATTAAAAATGTATGCTTGCTGAAAAATTGCCCCTACCACTACTGAAATGGAAAAAGTAGGAAGTGACCTTTTCGGATAATGTCATTCCTGTCCTTTGGCGGAGGATGTTAATGGAAAGAATCAGAAAACCCTAGCTTGGAAGCCTCGCTTGACCGTTTAGTTTCTAAAGGTCTCACATGAGGGAGAAGTCCTGCCATCCCCGAGGGCCATCACGAGAGTTATGGGAGATGTTTGATGAAATTATGTCAAGGGCTGTCACTGGTCCTTTGTGGGTTCTGTAAATATTCTTTGTCCCCATTCCTGCTCCTTGCTTCTGATCTTCTAGGAATCCAGACAGGTGAGAGCCAAGTGGCTGGAGGAGCCCTGTCTGTTCTCTGATCTGTTGCTGGCTGCACAATGAGCTGCTGTCCCCTCCCCAGCCCTGCTCTCCTACTTGCGGGTGTTGACCAGTTCCCTCTCTCCTGCCAGGTTAGACAAGGACGGGAGCAACGAGTGTCCAGCCTGGAGCGTCTGTGGTGTCCCACGACCTGGGCCTGCCTCTGGCTCTGGGCGTGTCCTCCTGAGAATTCTAGAGAAAGTCTGAGCAGGTTCAGAACAAATGCATGCTCCTCTTGCAGACTCTCAAAGATGCCCGTGACACACACCTCGATTCCCTCCCACTCATTTACCTGCTCAGTAAGCCCTGTTGAGTGCTTGGCACCTGGAATTAACTGAAGGACATTTTCTCATCCTTAACTAATTTGGAAAATGTGAGAAAGGAGACCGCTTTTAATTTCTGGAAGCACAAGGAATATGTTTATCATTCAGGTGCATTGCTGGCTGCTGAAAATCATCTGGGTTAACTTTCACGCATTGAGCTGCTGGGGGGTAGTAGTAATAGCTAATATTTATTGAGTGCTTTCTGTGTGTGAGGGACCCGCCATGCACGCTGCATGGATTATCTCATTTTGTCCCCCCAGCAGCCCTGTGAAGGAGGGGTAGTTATTAATTTCTGAGGCGGAAGGCGAAACTTCAAAATACTGAATCAGCCTCTTGGTGTCCAGTGAGTAATGGAGGCAGGATGCAAATGGGCTGTTGTAATTCCAGAGCCTGGGCCCCCAAAGGGGACGTTCTCCATCTAGAATCTTTGTGGATGTCTCTGTTCCGCTCCCTCTGTGAATCAGTGATTCAGCGTTATCCACTTGTCCTTTGAAATATTTTTGCCATTTCTCCATTAAAAACAGTCTCCATCATTCTGACCAAGCAGAGTGACTGACACACAGTGGGTTTACAGTAAATATCCAGTGCATGAACATGCCACATGAACATGAATTGAGCACCTACTGGCTACCAAGCAGCTGGAGTACTGGGTTCAGGGAGATGCAGAATTTAAGGATGATACGGTTGCTATCCTCAAGCTGCTTACTCTCGACTCCGTAATGGAGAAAGCTCAGGTCTGCATACAAATTGTGGCAGTTCAGTGTGGGGCTAGTGGTATGGAGAGAATAAGGCCTGTATGCTTTTAGAACATCCTGATTCCGCATATTGAGTCACCGTGCCGGAGCAAATGGCCCAAAAAAGCCAACAGGCTGGGATTTAAAATTGATATGGTGGAGGGGCTGGTCCCGTGGCCGAGTGGTTAAGTTCGCGCGCTCCGCTGCAGGCGGCCCAGTGTTTCGTTGGTTTGAATCCTGGGCGCGGACATGGCACTGCTCGTCAGACCACGCTGAGGCAGCGTCCCACATGCCACAACTAGAAGAACCCACAACGAAGAATACACAACTATGTACCGGGGGGCTTTGGGGAGAAAAAGGAAAAAATAAAATCTTTAAAAAAAAAAAAAATTGATATGGTGGGGCCCGCTCTGTGGCACAGCAGTTAAGTTCGCATGTTCCACTTTGGTGTCCTGGGGTTCACTGGTTGGGATCCCGGGTGCAGACATGGCACCGCTTGTCAAGCCATGCTGTGGCAGGCGTCCCACATATAAAGTAGAGGAAGATGGGCATGGATGTTAGCTCAGGGCCAGTCTTCCTTAGCAAAAAAGAGGAGGATTGGCAGCAGATGTTAGCTCAGGGCTAATCTTCCTCAAAAAAAAAAAAAAGTCAATATGGTGTCTGCCATTATGCTGTGGGAGCGCTGGGGAAGGGACAGCACTGGGTTCCGTTCAGCTGTTGAGTCACAAGGGAATGATGAGAAGATTGGGAAGGCTGCACAGAGGAGGGAAAGGGTCTTGCAGGATGAGTAGAGGTTCACCAAGGGCTGAAGAGTTGGAGGGACAGTAGGAGCAGAGGCCCAGAAGAGGGTCAGTGTATGACATGTCCAGTGTGGCCAGAGTGCAGAGGTGGCCGTAGCCGAAGCTGAAAGTTTAAGAGCTTGGGCGGTGGGTGAGGCCTTAGTCCTAGTTCATCTTATTTCCACCTGTGTTATTGGTATTGTGGTTTTGTCACCTGCTCACGGGGATGGGACTGGCACCTACGTGGGAGGGGCACTGAAGGATGGAGGTGTGCGCTGTCTCTGACTTAAAGGCGCTCATGAACGTTTGCAGTGGGCGTTACCTCTGGGCTGGTTGTGAAGCAGTTGACTGTCATTCTGACAGTTTCAGACAGAGAAGTGGTGGGCGATTAGATGCGTCCTGTGACCCTGTTCATCCCCAAAGGAAGGTCTCCATCCTCTTCACGGCTTATGCTGAGGAGCTGCTGCGCTCCCACTGTGCGTGTATCTTTGGACATGACCCTTTGGGTGCCCGTGTGTTCATAGAAGAGGAAGCAGGAAACGACGAGGTGTGTCGGGAGCTGTACTGAGTTTTATAATGGTGGTTGGGGAGAAATCAGAGTATTGGGTTTTCGTCTCGACTCTATTATTAGCTTACCATGTGACTGTGGAAGGTCACACGTCATCTCCTCCTTCGCCATCTGAGGTCTGTTTCTCCTCCTAATGTTCTGATTGGTGGGAGCCGATGGGGGTAGTCCACTGAGGCCACTTGCTCCCTGGAGCCCATCTGAAGGGTTAAAGGAGATGTGGCCAAGCGTGGCAGGTAGCAAATAATCAATAATCTCTTTCCTTTTCTTTTTTTCTGTTCCACTTCCTTCCTCTAGTCTAAACTACTCCCCGTTTTCAGAATTTAATGTATTCCTGTCCTTTTATTTCTTTTCCCCATGAGGCAAAAGGAAGTTCCAGGTTCTGCTACTTCCTGATTAGCTGATCTCGGACAAGCCACCCTGGCGAGCCTTAGCCGTTCATCTGTGATATTTGTCTGGTAACTACTTCCGAGGGGTGGGTGGGGACAAAGCGAGACCCTGTGTGTCAGGAGCCAGCACGGGGCTGGCGCAGAAGGTGTTCAGTGAGAGCAGATTGCGGCCCCTCCCTGCCCCACCCACCAGCAAACCACTCACTGTGTCTCCATCTTCCTTCCAGGACCTCATGCTGAAAAGAGAGCAGTTGACTCCCAGGAACAGGGTTTCTCCAGCAAGCTCTGTGCGACATCCCTGCATCACTGTCACCCAGGGACCTGTGGAGTAGACCCCGCCCCAGGCCTTCTGATCAGAATTGCTGTGAGTGGACCTCAGGGATCTGCCCACATCGGGTGCTTAGACACAGCCCAGTGGGACGCCACTGGCCCCAGAAACCTTTTGTGAGCCTAGTACTGTGACTTGCACCGTGAAGGGACTTGGTAAATACAGAGCAGTGTGTGCACGTGGCGTCACTGTGAATGCTGTGATGCCACACCCAGTTCCCACGGAGCTCTGGAGACTTAAATGCCCCAAGTCGGGGTGCCTTTCTGGACTACTGTTCTGACATGTTTGAATGGGTTTGAATTTCTGCTGCTTAGTTTTTTCTTTTATTTTTTCCCTTTCCTTCCTTCCCCTGGATGATGTTTGTGTTGTCCATACATGCTTTCTGTCTCCGGAACCCCAAATGCTGATGGGGTAGGACATAGTGGGTTTGCCTTCTGAGTGCAGGGGAACGAGGAGAGTGTTAGCTGCTAGGCTTCCCCACGTCACATGCTGGCAGTTTGAAACAGCTCCTGTCCTCAGGGAGCGTCTGGGTGGCAGCACAGCACTGTTGGCTTCTGTGCCTCGCTCCCAGCTGGTTGGATTTTTGTCGTCTCCTCTCCTCCCCCTGCCCCACTCCCTCCACGTTGGATTTACCCAGTGGGTGTAGAGATCGCTGCCCAGGTTGACTTAGTGAAGGGCGTCTGTGTGACTCGACGTAAAGACCTGCTTCTGTGAAAGTCAGAAGTGCATTCCGGAGTCACAAGCGTGACCTCCCGGAAGCTCAGCTAATCTCGGTTTTAAAGAGGAGTCGGAACAAAGGGAGTGATTATGGGATGTGTGGAGTGTGGGATGTGGGAAAGGGCAGCTGCTGCAGGTTGCCTGGTGGAAAACTTCGTCTTGAGGAAGCAGCTCGTGCTGAGGAAGCCAGCTCCCCAGCCCCCAAGGGAGTGGGAGCCCATGGTCATGCTGAGCTGGGGACCCAGATCCCAAAGCGAGACAGGGGTTTGGTGCGAGGATGGGCCACGGAGACTTACAGACTGATGGTCCTGGGTTCAAGTCCACCCCTTGCTGGCTGCATAACCTTGAGCCAGGTGCCTACGCTTCCTGTGCTGTGATTTGGGGATATGAGGTCTGACTCTGGGGTGTGAGCCTTAATGGGGGAATTAAAAGAGGCCTCTTTGTGGTGGCAATTAATAAATGCTTTTTCTTATCTCCTTGCTTATTTTATTTTTTTGCTGAGGGAGATCGGCACCAAGCTAACATGTGTTGCCAATCTTCCTCTTTTTGCTTGAGGAAGATTGTCGCTGAGCTAACAGCGGTGCCCATCTTCCTCTGTTTTGTATGCGGCACGCCACCACAGCATGGCTTGATGAGTGGTATGTAGGTCTGCACCTGGGATCCAAACCCACAAGCTCCAGGTCACCAAAATAGAGCCCGCGAACTTAACCACTATGCCACCAGGCCGCCCCCTCCTTCCTTATTTTGAGCATCACTCTCTACCCCTACCCTGAGTGACTTTCTCCTTCTTCCAACTTACATACCTCTTAGGGGCTGCGTGATTTGGGCCTGAAAACAGCTCCAGTCCTGGCAGAGCTCACCGAGGTCCTGGAGCCCGTCGACTGCAGTTTGCGGGCTTAGGCCTTACATGGACTGTTTCTCATGGCCCCATTTCTTTGATGAGATTTGAAGCTCTTTGTGGGCAGGGACGTGTGTGAGATCTTGAGTCTCCTTCGAAGCTACGTTCCTGGAGAATGCGTGTACCCTAAAACTTGTCTATGCTCAGTCTTCAAGGCTGATCTTACTGTCGTGTCAACAGCTGTCTCCTTGAGTCCCTGTTGGGTGGCTTGCTTCCCTGGCAGTTTGCCCCTTTGTTCATGGGGATTTGATTGACATTTGGGTCTTTGCTGACCTTTCCCTGAGGGATTTTGTGGGCAAGGGCAAACAAAAAGAACTAAAACAAAACAAAACAAAACAATCAAACTTTGAAGGTTCGTCATCTGTGGAAGGAAAGTGCTCCTGACTTCCCTCAGCTCCTTTCAGTGTCTCAGTCCCCTCAGGCTGTGAAGGAGAGTGGAGGTGAGCGGATTAAGTGGAAGGTTGCCTTGTATTGAGGACCTGCTGTGTGAAAGGGCTTCTGTAGGTTCTGTCTGCTTGTCCCCCTAACAGCGCAAGGCCGGACCCATTTTGCAGATATGGATGTCGAGTCAAAGAACTGGAGCTCAGGTTTTCACGCCTTGGAGCTGACGTTCTCACCCTGGTCTGTTTGTCTATAAAGCACTGGTCATCACCTGACGGGGCATCCTTCTCCCTTTCTTGCCCCCCTCCTGTCTGTCTGCCTCTTTCTCTCTCTTAAAGTTGCTATTGCTGTTCATCTCTGGTCTGGTCTAGTTAGTGAAGAAGAGGTTCTTGTGAGGTAAACCCGGGGATCTGCTGTTAGGACCGTCGTACCCCTGTGACTGTTTGAGGCCTCCGTCCCATTGGGCCTGAAGGACAGCGTGTGAGAAGTGCCCGCATTCTGCTGGGGCGCTGCTCACAGGTTCCTCCAGGAGTGTTTGTCACTCACCTGCAGGTGACAACAGGTGGTCAGGGCTCAGTTGTTTTGGGGAGACCTGTCTCCCCACTCCTGTCAGCCCTGAGCTTTGTGGAAACGATGTCACGGCTCAGGCCAGAGCTGGACGTTCTTCCCTCTCTGGTGAGGAGCCATGTGGAGAAGTGTGTCGTGGATGACATGTGGGACTTACTGCGGGAAAAAGTGAGACTTGGGACCCATGGACAGGTCACTGGGCTGGGACCGTTCTGGTCAGAGTCTGGCAGTGGATCTTCTTGATGCCTTGGGAGTCTCTGCCCACTGCCATCTCCAGCTGCTGAGTTTCTGCTCTCTCCGTTTCTGTCTCCAGAAGCTTCTTATCCTGTCAGCCTGCCCCCGGTCTTTCCCACTCCATAGTCCTTCTAAGGCAGGACACCTGGTGGTTCAGCTCAGAGGCTCTGGGGGCGGTGCCTGGGCTCCTGGCTCAGCCCCATCTCTGCCTCCCTCTGTGGCTTTAGGCATACCTCTTCCTGTGCCCCAGGGTTCTCATTTGAAAAGGAGTTCATGCCTCGCAGCGCTGTCGAGGTTACCTGACTTCAGATAGCCAGCGCTCTCGGAACAAGCCCCCAGGATTTCTGCCTATTCCCGGGCCGCTAGTCACTGGTCTTCTGCTGATAGTGCCCCCGCACCTGCCAGATTCAGGCGCAGTGCCTCTCCCAGGCATCGTGTGCACAGTCCACCCTTCTCGAGATTGGCATCTTATTCTGCATCCCGCCTGTCTTTCTTAGCTGGGTGACCTTGGATGAGTCACGGCCCTCTCTGGGCTTCGTTTCTCAGCTGTTCGGGAAGAGAAGTGAACCACATTATTCCAGGGTTTCTTGTGGTCTGATGTGCTGGCACCTCTCGCACTCAGTGTGGTCCAGCCTCTCCTTCTCTGCCCCAGTTCCTGCCACCCCGCCTTGGTCACCTGGACGTTACTGGATACCTGTTGAGTTCCCACGGGCTGTGCAAGACTTCTGGAGCTTGGCCAAACCTAGATGTCACTATTTTTAAAGAATAGCTCTAATCACTGTACCTGGCAGAACTGTCAGCAGGACTCTGTTACCTAATGCAGGTGAAGGGCTTGTTCTCTGTGGGCCCCCCTGCCCCCTCCTGTGTCAGGAGTGTCACAGTGTTGAGCACGGCACAGAGCATCATCCGATTCTTCCTAACACTAGTGAACAGGGCTGGGTTCAGTTTGCATCTTCCAAGCCTAACGGAGGGGAGCAGCAACAGTAGTAGCTGAGCAGGCTATTGTTAAGGGAGATGCTGACGTCCTGCGTGAGTTGTGAGCCCCCGTGGGCAGGTTCTTGTGTGGAGCGCTTTGTATACAGTCTCTCCTCCACGGATGAACCCCAGAGGATGTGCATTTCAATTCTTTATTTTTAGTAAACAGATGAGGAACCACTTTCGGAGAGCTTAAGGGATGTATGTGCCCATGGCCAGCGAGTGACGGCAGCATTGGGATTCACACCCGGGTTTATTTGGTCCCCACGCGCCCCGTCCTCCCATCCCCTGAGGGAGGGATTGGCTGAGTGTGAGGAGGAGTGTGTATGGAAGGCTTGGGAATTCCAAAGCAGCTGATCTGTGTTATCCCAGCACACGTTGGGGAGAAACTGAAATGAAGCAAAAATAGAGTCTGTCAGCAGGAGGACAGCTGCCACTTTCTTGGGGAACGAATCTCCTTGATTTATCTTCCCAGGTTGGCCAGGCCCCCGCTCTTGGGGTATCACAGACAAATCATGTGAACATGGCCAGAGAAATGACTGCTCTCTCTTCGTCCGAAAAAGATAAAGTAGACACCTGCTTGGTGGTATCAGTGTTAAAGAAATGTTACCCCACAAACCTGAGAGAGAGAAAGAGAGAGGAGCCAAGACTGGGAGGCTTTCCTGACTCGATTCTTAGCTCAGAGGACCGCTTTCTCATCCCCTCCAGCCGGTGTCGCCCCCTTGGCTGGCTCTCAGAGGTGTTGGAGTCAACATCTGCTGACTTGTGCTCATGCTAAAATTAACAACATGACTGATGGCTGCTGCAAGAGAGGGAAAGAGAGCGAGAGAGAAAACACACACAGAGTCAAGGAGACCGAGAAGCAGAGGAGTGGGGCTGACACACAGCCACACACCCGCTGGGAGATGCTCTTTGTGGCTCCCACCACGAACTCTGTCCTCTCACAACGTTGGTGCCAGGGAGGGCCGGACCTGCCTTTGCTCAGTCTGTGCCTTGTACCCCGTTCTCCAGACTGTGCTAACCCATCATACCTTCAGCCTTCCCATTCCCAGAGCATCCGTCCGTGCGTTCCATATTTAGGGGAAGTTGTTATAGAATGATGCTTTCTTCATAGTGGACAGGAAAGAGAGGCAGCCTGCTTCTCATTTTTGTTTGAACTGTCCATTATAGGGTTTTGACTAGTGGAAATACCTGGTAGGGAGGGTCAAGAATGAAATGACATTTGGGCCTGACAGCCCTTGGAAGGCAGAGAGGAGGGAAACTCAGCCAAGAGAATGGGGTGGGGGCTGTATTGTCTCGTGGGACAGTTCCGTGTCCCGTTCCGTGTCCCAGGCCAGAGCATGCTTCTTTGTGAAATGTTTGCCTCAGTGCCCCTGGGGGCAGGGTCAGCTGTGAGGCTGTGGGGCATGACAGTCTGGAGGAGCAGGGGAGGCTGGAAGGTGTCGATTCCCAGGCCTCGAGGGGAGTTCCAATGTTTTCAGTATTCCAGCAAACAGACTTTCACAGGAGAAATAAAAAAGAAAAAATCTTAATCATCTTTCTATTGAGGTAACGTGTAAAAAGGTGCACAGATCCTGAGTATACAGACAGCTTGATAAATGTTCCCAAGTGAACCTGTGTGCATAGCCAGCACCGGGGGAAGAGAACACTACCAGCATTTCCAAAGCCCCCTCCAGACCCTTTGCAGTCACCAACTGTCCCTTCCCTACTCGCTCAGGATCACCTTGTCCTCACTTCTAACAGCGTAGATTAGTTTGACCTGTTTGCGTATTTAATAGAAATAACATCATACGACGTTCCCTTGTGTCTGGTTTCTTCAAAATTACATTTGCGAGCCGTGTTCGTGTGTTGCCTGCAGTGGTAGATCATTCTCGTTGCTCTGTAATATTCCATTGTGTGTGTGCTTTTAAAACTCATTCTACTGGGTCTGGCCGGTTAAGTGCGCATGTTCCAATTCTCGGCGGTCCGGGGTTCGCCGGTTCGGATCCCCGGTGCGGATGTGGCACTGCTTGGCAAAAGCCATGATGTGGCAGGTGTCCCACATATAAAGTAGATGAAAATGGGCACGGATGTTAGCTCAGGGCCAGGCTTCCTCAGCAAAAAGAGGGGGATTGGCAGCAGTTAGCTCAGGGCTAATCTTCCTCAAAAAAACAAAAACAAAAACAAAAAAAAACCCGTTCTGCTGATGGGTGAGAGTGGTTTCCAGTGTTGGGAAGGTGCTGCTGTGACCATCCTGCAATCTGTCTTTTGGTTGAACGTATGCACACGTTTCCATGAGTTTACACTTAGGCATGGAACGGCTGGGTCACAGGATGCACATATTTTGAGCTTTGTGGATAGGGCAAAACAGTTTCCCAAGCTGGTTGTTTGTCTTTCTTCAGGCTGCCTGCCCACCAGCTCGTATGACAATTCCAGTTCCACATCGAAGCTGACCCTTCGTACTGCCCGCCTTTTTCAGTTTGGCCAATCCATTCCAGAAAGAGCAAATGACTTGAAAGGAATCGCATAGGAGAGAAAATGAAATTGCCCCCTGAGAGCTCTCCTGTTCGATGATACTGGAAGTCCTGATGCACACCGCCCCGCATCCGTGCTTTCTTGCAGGTGGAGCCGTGGCGGGGCCACCTCCTCCTGTGAGCATCAGTGCTTCCCCGGCCCTTGGTCGGGGACCGCTGCTTTGCTGCAGTAATACCCAACAGACCATGTCATAATTCTTCCCCAGGTGACAGAGCTTTCATGTCCCTGACCCCAACAAAACAAACCTGGCTTCAGACTTGCCTGTGGGCCTCCGTAAATATTTAACAGACTGTGTCCCCCGTTCTGTCTCCTGCCATTAACTGGGGCTGGCACCATAAATCACTGGTCCCCTGCTCGCCGTAGGCAGCTGCTCTCAGCCGACAGGACTCCGGTCCTGACGTTCTGGTGTGATGCTGCTCCTGGGCTGCTTCCTGGGGCTGGCAGCTCCTGCTGGTTGCTGTAGGAGCCGAGGATGAAAGAGGGACATGTGTGAGGCACCCTGGGACAGACCGTACTAAAGGACAGACTTGAGGGAGACCTGTTCCATTTGATGCATAAAATAATGGCTGCTGTGGCACTCATAATATGCGCCCGGCAACACGCTCAGTGCTTTATGGTGATTATTCCGTGTCAGCCTCACAGCAGTTCTATGAGGCAAGTAGAAATGATTTACCCCCATTTTACAGATGAAGAAACTAAGGGTTAAAAATATTTCTCCAGAGTAACATAACTACGAAATTTGGTAGTTTGACTTTAGACTTTAATGTTTTAGCTGCTATCCTGTGCTTCTCTCTTAGGGGCTGACATTTAGACGCTTAAGCTTCCTTCTGAGCCCATCTTTCTCTTGGGTTCTTCTAAAAGCTGTGTCAGGTGGGTTTATGTGGGATAAAGGGAGCTCACCTGTGACCTGTGACTCCTAGTCAAGAAAAATACTTCAGAGGATCTGTGCTCTCTGGCGTGGTTGCTATGATAGACAGGGTAATGGCCACCCCGAAGATGTCCATGTCCTAGTCTCCAGAACTATGTGAATATGTTACTTTACATGTCAAAAGGGACTTTGCAGATATGATTAAGGTTCAGGACCTTGTGATAGAGAGATTATCTTGGGTCATCTGGGTGGCGCCAGGGTAATCTCCGGGGTCCTTAAAGGTATCGGAGGGAGGGAGGTGGGTCCATCAGAGAAGGAGATGTGAGGCTGGAAGCAGGGCAGAGAGATGCTATGTTGCTGTATTTGAAGATGAAGGAAGGGATATAAGCTCAGGCATCCGAGAGCAGCCTCTAGTAGGTGGAAAAGCCAAGGAAACAGATTCTTCTTAGAGCTTCCACAAGGAATACAGCCTGCCAACACCTTGCTTTTAGCTCTGTGAGACCTGTGTTGGACTTCTAACCTCCAGAACTGTAAGATAGTGAATTTACGTTGTTTTATACCATGAACTGTTTGACAATTTGTTATTGCAGCAATGGTTGCTGTTGATGATAGTTGGTGTAATGGTCAAGCTCATGGGCTTTGGAGCCAGACTAACTGATTTCAAACCCCTGTTCTGTAATTCTCTAGCTGTGTGACCTGGGAAAAGTTGCTTAACTTGTCTGGGCCTCAGCTTTCTCATCACTAAAATTGGACAAGAATAGTTTAGAAGATATAGAGTTGTGTGAGGATTAAATGAGGATTCTTTGCGTGTGAAATGCCTGCAGGTTAGTTTTAGCTACAGCCATTCCTGGTCAGCCTTTGTCACTAGCAACGCAGAGAGGTGGGATCAGGGCGCAGACTCAGGAGAGAGACTGTCCGGTCTCAGAGTTGGGCTCCACTCTTTGCGGTTTGAAGCAAGGTAGTCGTCTGGGTCCTGTGTCCTTATCTGGAAAAAGGGGGCAGGAGTCTCAGGGTGGTTGGGGGGTTGAATCAGATGGGGGCCAGAGCTTTCAGCAGAGTAAGAGGCTTCCCAAAGGGCCGTTGCTGTTATCATCCGGTGGGTGGTGGCTGTGGGACCTCAGGCTCTGTGCATTGTGTATCGATGTGTTCTTCGGTTATCTTTAAAATGGTTTAAGTTCACCAGGTTGGGGAGACAAATGTCTCCCCCTATAGTTGGAGCAGCCCTGGGGCCCTGGTAGGCACTCAGTAATTGCCGAATGAATGAGTAAAAGAGGAAGGGGTGCCGGCCCTGCCCTGAAGAAGCTCGCAGTACCTGACGAGGCCTGGAGCGATGCCAGGGGTCTGTGGCTGTGTTTAAAAAGAAACTAAACAAAGAACGACTTCCTACCAGCTGACCCCAAACCCCCTGAGCTCACAACAGGGACCTCAGCCCCACAGGGGAGTGAGGGCTGCCTGCCAGGCCTGGCCGTGCTGTGAACATCCGAAGCCAGCCACCTAACCTTTCAGGAACCTTCTCTTCTCATCTTCATGATGGACGTACCTCAGCTCCCTCTGCCCTCCCAGGGTAGTTCTGAGGAGCTCTAAGCAGTTGAAAGTTCTGCCTGTGGGAGGCGACACTCTCCTGAGGCGCCCCTGTCTCCCCTCTGACCTGAATTTGGGTACCAGAGCTATAGGGCATTATTTTTAGTGAGTTCCCGTCTAAATATATTAGGGTCAAATATAAGGAAGGGAGAGTAACTGACGACTGCTCTCGGTCCGTGATTGTAACAAGATTGATTTTTCTTTCTTCCTGTCCCCAGGCCTGATCTTTTGACCAGAAAGAAATTAAAAAGATACCTGTCATGCTGGCTGCGCCCGTCAGCTGCATGCAGCTTCGTTCAAGGATTTTTGGAGCCCTGTGGATTTACAGTGATACTCGGCCGCCTGGGGGATCACGCTGGTGGACGCATTCTCTGGAATTAAGTATCCCGGCACATTTCTGGATGCTGAAGGTGGTTTTAAGGAAGGCCCCGGCTGAGCACCTTGTGGATCCCTGCAGCCTGGACGCCTGTGGGGGACAGAGGACTGAGCTCTCTGTCCTTCTCTCGGACTGAAATGTTCGGTTGGGTCCCTGCCAGCTCCCTTGGGGGCTCCCTATGAAACGTAAGTCCCGTCACACATCTCCTGTGCACACATCTCATGCATGTTCCATCAAGCGTTCACCCCAGCTTTAGGTGACGCTGGCCTGGCTGGTGGTAGAGAGGTCACTGTGACGTGGCCGGCTCTCAAAAGAGGCTGGCGTCTCATGAGCTTGCTCTTTGTGTCTGGCATGGTGCTGGGGGTTTGGGGGAGACAGATGGAAATGGGAAAGTCCCTCATGGGAGCTGCCACTGTTCCCTGTATTGACGTGTGTGCCTCTCCCCCTTTACTGATTTTCCTGGTTCACGTGTCTGTCTCTGTCTCCCAGACCGTAAGTGGCTTGGCGGCTGGGGCCTCTTCCACGTGGCTTTGTGTCTTGAACACAGCGTGGTGCCTGGCACGTAGTGTGTCCTGCTGCAGAAAGGGTGCGTTAAGGCATGATTGTTAATGAATTAAGACGCCGAAGAGTCAGTAGTGAAAGTACGCATGAGGAGATAGTTTCTTGGCTCTGTGCTTACAGCTAGAAACGAGCGATGGAATGTCAGCCGGTGCCTGTGGAGCTGGTGGGGCCTGGGTTTCAATCTCCTACCTGTATCCACTATGTGATGTGGGCAAGTGACTGCTGGGTTCCTTGTCCTTTTCTATTCCATGGAGGCGACGTGTTATTGTCCTTTACAGGATTGGTGTTGAGGATCACAAAATAGTCACTCGTGTGCCAACACTGGCTTCGTGCCTGGCATACAGCTGTCACTCAGCACGTAGTAGGTCACTGTTGGTGGAAGAGAGACTTCTGGGAAGGAGGGGCATGGCTTGGGCTTTGAAAGTGTTTCTGAGCAGAGCCAGTGGGCTGTGCTGGACATTGAACTTGGCACTGCTGGTTGGTGTGGACAGTTGATCAAAGGTCACAGTCCCTGGCGCCTGTGGGGAGGCTGAGTGGCAGGTCAGCAGCAGGCGAGGGAAAGGAGCCTCCTGTCGGCACGATGGCGAGAGCAGCCGGACTTGGACTTGGCAGCCGAGGCCTGGTGTGGTTCTGCAGTTGGCGAGCAGAAGGACTGGCCCCCTGGGTCCTGACTTGGCAGCTGTGAGGTTGGTGGCTCTGAGGGATGTTGCCTTAGTGTTGTGCCATCCACAGGAGAGTGTCAGCTCCAACAGCCAGTGCCCCGAGTGCTCAGGTCACCTGGGGCCACCTGGCACTTGGCTGCCAGGACCGCTCTTGGGGTGGGGCCTGGGCTGTGATTTGGTTGAGTTCCCAGTTCCGCTCATGCCCGATGGCATTTCTCAGCGAGACTTTCCCTGACCTTCCAATGCAAATACTGTCCCTCGGGTTGTTCCACACTGTTCTTGTTCACAGCTCCTAGATGTGGTGTAATAATATTCTCTTCATTTATGCAAAGTATTTGATTTCTTGTCTTTCTCCCATACTAGAGGGTACTCTCTGTGAAATCAGGAAACATGTTTGTCTTGCTCACAGGCTAAGCACACAGTAGGCATCTTATTGCATCGTAGTTGATCAGATCACATGATGACTTTTAGTGGTTTTCTTTCAGCTTCCCTGAAAAGAGCAGACAAAAGGGAAACACTCCCTTTTTTTCCTGATTACTTCATTGAAGTCATAATGGTTTATAACATTGTGTAATTTCAGGTATACATTATTATTTATCAGTTTTTGTTTAGACTGCGTCGTGCTCACCACCAATAGTCAGTTTTTATCCATCACCATATATATGCGCCCCTCTACCCCTTCACCCACCCCCAAACCTCCTTCCCCTCTGGTAACCACTTATCTGTTTCTCTTTATCTGTGTGTTTAACTTCCACATGTGAATGAAATCATGCAGTATTTGTCTTTCTCTGACTTACTTCACTTTACATAATACCCTCAAGGTCCATCCGTGTTGTTGCGAATGGGACTATTTTGTCTTTTTTTACGGCTGGGTGGTATTCCATTGTGTGTATATATATATATATATATATATATATATATATATATGTATATACCACATCTTCCTTAGCCATTCATCAGTCGATGGGCACTTGGATTTTTTCCACGTCTTGGGATAGCTGGATCATATGGTATTTCTATTTTTAACTTTTTGAGAAATCTCCATACTGTTTTCTGTAGTGGCTGCACCAGTTTGCATTCTCACCAGCAGGGTAGGAGTGTTCCCTTTTCTCCACATCCTCTCCAACGTTTCTTAGTTTTTGTCTTGGTGATTATAGCCATTCTAACGGCTGTTAGGTGATATCTCATTGTAGTTTTGATTTGCATTTCCCTAATAATTAGTGATGTTGAATATCTTTTCATGTGCCCTTGGCCATCTGTATATCTTTGGAAAAATGTCTGTTCATAGCCTCTGCCCATTTTTTGATCTGCTTGTTTGTTTTGCTGTTGTTAAGTTGTATGTGTTCTTTCTATATTTTGAAAATTAACCCCTTGTGGGATATATGGTTTGCAAATATTTTCTCCCAGTTGGTGGGTTGTCTTTTCTTTTTGTTCATGGGGAAACACTCTCTTTTTGAGCATCTGTGTACCTTAATCAGCCCAGCAGTTCCACTAGGTGGGCAATGGTGTGTCCGTTTTATAGTTGACAACTTTGAGGCTTTGAGGGACCATGTAACTTACCCAAGGTTGTTTATTTATTTTTTTAAATTATTTTTTATTTATTTTTTTTTGAGGAAGATTAGCCCTGAGCTAACATCTGCCACCAATCCTCCTCTTTGTGCTGAGGAAGACTGGCCCTGAGCTAACATCCGTGCCCATCTTCCTCTACTTTATATGTGGGACGCCTGATGCATCATGGCCTGCCAAGTGGTGCCATGTCTGCACCTGGGATCCGAACTGGTGAACCCCGAATTGGAATGTGCGCACTTAACTGCTGCGCCAGCGGCCCGGCCCCGCCAAGGTTGTTTATCCAAGAGAAGGCAGAGCAGGAAGCTGAGAGGGGTGTGTGTGTGTGTGTGTGTGTGTGTGTGTGTGTGTGTAGCACTGCCTGCTGTGGAATGCTCTTGGGGTCCTTAGAGCTGGGTGCCCACTTGGTCCTCTGGGAGAGAGAGACTTTCAGTAAGCACTCTGTCCCCTACCTTGTGGAGGAGGCAGGTGCCGTGCTTGGCCCTGGGATGAAGTGGGGTTGGGATCGTGGTCCACCCCCGTGAGGCTCAGGGTCTTCAAGGAGCCTGTGCCCTCGGTGAGGAGGGATTTGCAGCACAGTGTACTGTGTCCGAGCAGGACAGGGAGGGGCTCTGGAGGCTCCAGGGAGACTTGGAGGGCTGGGGGCTTTGGCTAGGCTTGCTGTGGTGAGCAGAACTGTTCTGGGGACGTGAGGGGCTCAGCTAGGAAAGTGAGTGGGGGAGCCCAGGGCACAGGCCTGCCCCTTCCCTTCTGCCTTCCTGGGCCTCTCGCACCTCTTCTTGCCATCTCTTCCCACCCTCCCGCTGTGGCAGCTGTATCTCACTTATCACAAGGCCCCCAGCCCTGCTCTTTCTCCTTTTATCAGTTACTCCCTCGAACAACCCCATTGTGGTGGTCCTGGTTATCTCCTGCTCCTCCCGGGAGGGCGAGGGTGGGCTTGGGCACCAGAAGACACAGAATGGTCATGGCGAGAAATAAGACTCATACTTCCCCTCCTTTCTGGCAGCTCAGAGCACCTGCCCTGCATCTGTGAGATTGCACTCTGTCGACATTGATGCAGGAATGATTGCCATTTATTACGCCACGCTCTGTGCAGGGCATGTGGCAGACGTGATTCCGTTCCAGCCCCAGACCAGACCTATGGAGTGGGCACTATTATTGTGGTCATTTTTAGTGTTGAAGTATCTGGAGCACAGAGAGGCAAAGCAGGTCTCCCCAGGGCACACAGGCAGTATCTGAACACAGTTCTCTCTGATTCCAGAGCCACTGGGCCACACAGCCTGGAGCTGAGAGATGCAACTTCTACTCCCTTCTTGCTCCCCCAGTGACTCTGTGACCTCGAGCTGATCGCCTCCCTTCTCTGGGCCTTTGTACCCTCAGCGATAGGGAAACTGTTTAATTTCTCTTCTAAGCTGGGACACTTGAGAGTGAAAGGAGCACTGTGACACTGGCTCCGGGACAGCAGGGTGTAAACTAGGAGGGTGCTGGGCAAACCAGACCCAGTGGCCCCTGGACTCATTAGTTAGATGGAGGGTAGTGCTGGTGGTGGTGCTGCTACTGATGCTACTGGTGTTGCTGCTGGTCCTGGTGCTGGTGGTGTTGGTGGTGCTGGTAGTGCTGGTGCAGATGCTCCTGGTCCTGGTGGTAGTGCTGCTGGTACTAATGGTACTGGTGGTGCTGGACTTGATGCTGCTGCTGTTGCTGGTGCTACTGGTGGTGATGGTTGTGGTGGTGGTAATGCTGGTGCTCCTGGTCCTGGTGCTGCTGCTGCTACTGGTGGTGTTTGTGGTGGTCTTGATTTGGGGGTGATGTTGATGGTCGTGGTGCTTCTCCTGGTATTGACGCTACTGATGCTGGTGGTCCTGGTCGTGGTGCTGCTGCCACTGCTGCTGGGGTTACTGGTGCTGCTGCTAATGCTGCTATCTCCTGGGTCCAAGTTGGCTCCTGCAGTTTCTCCTTGCAATTGCTCAGGCAGTTTGCATTTCTGCTTATGGCACAGGAACTTGGCCTAATCTCTTCATCTCACAAGTCTGCCTTTAGCTGGTTGGAAGAACCCATTTCTCTTTGAGCCTGTTTGCCCAGCCTGCTGCTAGAGCAGGCCTTATCTGTAATTTCTTTTAACTGATGGGCCCCTGTTGGTGATAGAGAGCACACACTCTAGCCCTGGGCTGAGGGAGACAGTGCTGCTCCCTCACCTACACACACACACCAGCCAGCGTTCCCAGAGATGGCTTAGTGCCCCAACAGGAGTGCCTGGCTCCCCTGGAGTCTGCACAGGGTTACCATGAGAGAAGGGCTGTGACTCATTCTCCAGGCCAAGTCTGGAGACCAGGGGCTCTCAGTGAACAGTCATGGGCTTGCTTAATGGCTGGTGTTTACGAACACTTGGAATGTCC